TCACGACAATGATGGTTTCACGCTTATTCAGGGGTAAGTCTCTCGGTCTTGGTCATGACGAAGCTAATATAAGCAGCCCTCCCGGTACAGGAAAAACAAAAACCATCGTGGCCATGGTTGGAACTTTGCTCTCTGAGCAACTGAGTCAACCAGGCAATCAAGGCATTCCCATGGGCGTACCTCTTCGACCGAACGGTGCACCAGGGGCACCCAAACAAAGCCGTTCAAAAAAGCTTCTTGTTTGTGCACCCAGTAACGCCGCCGTAGACGAGTTAGTGCTACGTCTGAAGGCTGGTGTCAAAACGATCTCGGGGAAAACCAAGAATATCAACGTGCTACGACTCGGTCGGAGTGATGCCATTAATGCAGCTGTAAGGGACGTCACCCTAGACGAGCTTGTCAAGGCCCGCATGGAGGGTGATCAGACCAAGGACAAAGCCAAAGCCGACCGTGACCAACTTCACGAGAATGCCGGGAAGGTAAAGGAAGAGCTGGGAAAACTGCGTCCCCAGCTGGAAGCAGCAAAGCTCATGGACGATCGAACCCTCTACAACAAGCTATCTCGTGAATTCGACGAACTGAAGCGACGCCAAATGTCCTATGGAAAACAAATCGATGCCGACAAGAGTAGCGGCAATTCCGTAGCTCGAGAGATGGAAATGCGGCGCCGCCAAGTCCAGCAAGAGATCCTCAATAGCGCTCAGGTCCTATGCGCTACTCTGAGTGGCAGTGGTCACGAGATGTTTCGAAACCTGGAGGATGTAGAGTTCGAAACAGTCATCATTGACGAAGCTGCTCAGTGCGTTGAGTTAAGTGCCTTGATTCCACTGAAATACGGCTGCTACAAATGCATCCTCGTTGGGGATCCTAAACAGCTTCCCCCTACAGTTCTGTCACAGTCAGCGGCGAAATTCGGCTACGATCAAAGTCTATTCGTCCGAATGCAGCAAAACCATCCACAATCGGTGCATTTGCTGGACATGCAATACCGTATGCACCCTGAGATCAGCTTGTTCCCCAGCCGCGAGTTCTACGAAGGACAACTCGCCGACGGACAGAACATGCATGAGCTCAGGCAACAGCCGTGGCACAAGAGCGCACTACTTGGTCCCTATCGATTCTTCGATGTCCAGGGTGTCCAGGAGAGGGGCCACAAGGGTCAGTCGCTAGTCAACACCAAGGAGTTGGATGTTGCTATGCAGATGTATGATCGCTTTAGTAACGAGTACCGTGAATGCGACTTGACTGGCAAGATCGGTATCATCACTCCTTACAAAGCTCAACTTTATGAGTTAAGAAACCGCTTCCGTTCGCGATATGGCGAGAACATCACAAGCATAATCGAGTTCAACACCACCGATGCTTTCCAGGGTCGCGAATGTGAGATCATTATCTTCTCTTGTGTTCGTGCCAGTTCTACTGGCGGTATCGGTTTCATGACTGATATTCGACGTATGAACGTCGGTCTGACTCGTGCTAAATCATCGCTGTGGATTCTTGGCGACTCCAGAGCGCTTGTTCAGGGCGAATTCTGGCGAAAACTTATTGAGGATGCCCAAGCCAGAGATCGCTACACTAATGGCGACGTGTTGTCTATGTTTAGGAAGCCCCTGGAAAAGGCAAAGCCGGGCGCCTACCTTCCCCCACCACCCCAAGCTCGAGACCGTGATGTTCCAATGCGAGATGCTTCTTTGGGAACGTCGTCACTGTCCTCATCTCGTCCAAACTCACCAAAGGTTGAGGGAGCTCAGCAGTCAACAGCTCCCGCAACTCACATACCTGGCATTGCAGGAGGTGAATCGGCTGGAGTTCTGCCACGCTCTGCTGGGCCCCCTGTCATTCATACCTCGTCAAGCAAGCCTCCAGGAGAACCACGAAAGCGACCTCATGACGGACCAGATTCAAATCAGCCAGCTCCTAAAAGGGTATGCCCACAAACAAAACAAATGCCGAGAATAAGATTTTGTGAGCTAACAATCAAACAGATAGCAAGTGGCAATGCTCGGGGCGGTGGACTCATGGGCAAGTTTGGGAATAAGTCGCACCGGCCGCCCAAGGCTCCCACCGACCCTTCGGCAATGTCAGTAATGGGTCTGGCGCCACCTGAGAGACCGCCTGCAGCAGCGCCGACCGGTCCCTCGTTATCAAGTAGACCCCAAGCCCCAACAGGACCAAGAATCCCGACAGGACCTTCAAATCCGGGACCCCAATATAGCAACAACCAGGTATGTTTAAAACCATGTGCTCGATGAGTCGCTTTGCTTATAGTGTCCACAGCAACGACGCCCACCTCACCCGCCTTCTTCTCGCAAGAAGGGGAAGCCAAGTCTTTTTGTCCCAAAGAAGCGCTAAATTTCATGACAAGACGAGACTCTGTATAGCAAGCATAGAGGATGATACATAGTAGATAGCATTTCTGGGCGTTGGGTGCATTATTTCATTTGTACATGGCATCTACGAACAGGGCATAAGGGGCTGCAAAAGTGTGGCTCCGGAGGATTAGACATTGCCAAACATGCCTCACTCCTGACATCAGTCAGAAGATACGGTAGGCTGGCATACATCATACATGCGTGGGCTGCCCACGGTGATATGCAAGGGGGCATGAGGCCCCCTCCTGTGGTGGTCGGGTGAAGGACTGAATCATTAACTATTAAACCTGACCAGCCTGGAAGATTCTGAGGCCAGCTGTTAAGGTAGAGACGCTCAACGAGACCCATGGGGACTCCCGTCACGGCTGTGACATGATAATGGCAGAGCACTGCATCATTTCCACCATCTCGTCGTCCACAGTTAAGGTTAATTGGGTCACGTGATGCCGTTGAAACAATCTGAATGGAGGAGATGGCAGTGCATGTTTGCGCTGAGCATGGGTCAACTCGCCTAACCATCCGGTAGTGAGGACGATCATCAGCGGACAGGGATCGTGTCATTTCAATAGACAGGGAGAACGACAAGGGACACTGGTGACGAATGAAGTCAGGTAATGTCCGATCCTGGTCAAGTTCCCACGGGCAATAGTTAGGTTAGTAGTTAGACGAGGCAACTTGTACATACACGATCACAATTGACAAAAGGGCGGTTGTGCTATGATGTAAAGGCAAATGGCGCTGGAGGCATTATTGACGACAGTGACCTTTTGGCTTTTCCAAAGAGGGTCAATTCGGCTCAGCGTATATCAATGCCAAGACGACAGAGAGTACGGGATGATGCTAGACTCTATAGATAACACTCAGTCAGGCACACACATCATATCCTCTGGCCCCTGGGTAACAGTTGGTAACTTGGCACAGTGATGACACTAGCGGCCTCCTGCAGAGGAGATCAGCAGTGGCGCTCGGAAGGGCTTTTGGCGGTTGAGCAACGACGACGCGGTATTGGTGATTGGATAAGTTTGTAACGACGACCTGAAGGCAGAACCCTGTGAGCTGAAAAGAGATGGCCACCATCCTATTGGGTTGAGTGAAATGTTTGTGAAATGTTGGAACAGGGAGCTACTCCCTCAATATTGGATTTCAGAAGACTCAAGACTCCTGTACCGAGCAAGAATAGACTATTCAGAGAGCCAAGCAAGTTCATCCTAAACGTTTTCAAGTATTCTTGGCATACAAGGTCAGATTGAGGATGAAGTTTTGAGTTCAGCCATCTCCTCCTGGCTACCTACTGTATGCACAGTTTGTAGATTGGTGCATACCTACGTAAGTGGTTCAGCAAATCGCCAAGTTTAGGACAAAACAATGCGAACATGGCTTGGGATTTCAGCTGATGCTTGGTTCATATTGGATACCTCTGCCTCTTGTGAACCACCTGAGATACCTGAGAAGGTAACACAGCTCACGGTGGTGACGACGAGCAGCCAGCTGCAACCACTGACCGATGAGTTTCGGCATACAATTGCTATGGATTGTTTCTTTTTCAAGGGAAAGTTTTGCGAGCGGCTGGGATTTAAAGACCTGTCCACCAACTGCATGTCTGTACATCACTTGTGGTGGCCGGAAAAGAGACATGCATAAAGCGACAACAGAAAAAAAAAAAGCAAAGAGCAAAAGTGACGAAAACGAAGCTAACCAAGGCCAAGGGTCAGGAAAATGAGATCTCCAGTGCAAATATGACTAGGGATAGTTTGACAAATGAAACTATTTCTACGCCGATCTTGGTTGGCATCCCGAACGACCGGGTTGTCGTGCCGCATCGCGAAAGAGGCGTAATTACAACCTCAGAAAGAGACCCAGCAGATAATGGAGACGAGCTGAGCTAGAACAAAGGAGCACGATCTCCCTTTTGGTGAATCTGTGCTTCAGAGGCTCTGATTGGGGCATTGGCGAGGACGTTTCCACTCCATTAAATTCAACGGGCATAATTAGGTAGCTTTCGGATCCTGAGCTAGGACCAAATAGCGGCACTTGGTCTCGGTGGCGCTCCAGGGTTTTATGGGGGAGTGACGGCATACATGGGCTGCAGGACCTCTCTGATGCTCCTGCTCTTGCTGTCTGTCTGTTCCGACGCGGTTGGGAAGGTCCCTTGGAAGTGGGATTGACCAGGTTGAAGTGGGCTGAACTGGGGGACCGACCCCCAGAATATGTAATTTCTTCTTCTTCTTTTCAACACCATCACTTCTCAATTTCCCATCTTTGTCACAATCTTGGCCTTGTTTTGTGGCTGTCAACTCAATTACCAGTGTATGATATACGGGGACACAGACTACTGCCTCTACCTTCATACCTTAGTACCTACTATCACTCGGGCCACCGGTCTGCAACCACCCGCCTCCTAATCTCCTTCCAAGCCTCCAAAAGGGAGGGCACGAGAAAACCCCCGAAAGACAACCAAAGGGTGAGACTAATTTAAGAGATCCCTTCGTGTACAAGCCATGCTCCCGTGAAAACTCAACTGATACATCTACCTAGCTCCGGCCTGTCTTTCATGGATGCAAGTGCATCGTTGCGCAAAAGCGTATAACTCCATCCCATGTTCCGTGTCAGATGTTAAGCTGGCCCGGCATGGCTCAAGTTCTTGGCCTTGATCCTGAGGTTTCTGTCACGTCGGGCAGTGGCGCTTCTTGTCCTCGCACAACAATCCCCTCAGCTCTCACTTCTTCTGTATCTGCATCTACTGTCCCTAAAACAAATCGGCATTCGTATCTGCAAAGGCCAGGCTCTCAAACCCAAGCTCAAGCACGTACCCGGCCAAGAGCAAAATCTGCATCAAATTTGCTAGGTGGCCCCGAAAAAGACAAGGACTTGGGTTTTCACGACGACACCTTCATCGAACAGCAGCAGCAGGGGGACGGGGAACCGCATGATGGCCTTGCAGAGCTCATTGACTTTCTGAGGAATCACAGCCCTCCGTCGGGTAACTTTATGTCTATCCCCGATGGAATCCCCCCGGGGGACAGGGGCCGATGGTACAGGCTCCGAAAGCTAGGCAAGAGGAGTAAATCACTCTCCAAGTCGCCTCAAACCATTCGGCTTCCAGACTCAGCTGTCTCGGGCACAACAATAGGAGGACATCGACATATTGCAATTTCCATACCCTTGGATGCCTCGCCATTTGGTCGAACTCCCAGGTCTCAGTATCCTATATACCAGCACCGGAGTGTGAGGCCTCTCACTTCTCAGTATGCTCCTACTAGAGCAGTTTTGAACGAAAAAGGCGTCGTGACAGTGTTACGGACTGTCGCAGAGGACAGAGAATCATCGCCTTCGGTGAGCCCGGCAAACTCTCAGCTTCTTTTATCTACTATCTCTCAAAGATCTCCAAACTCATCGATCAATGGGCACTCTACTCCGGCCCCTATTAATAGCAGCCACCAAAGTACGGCACCGGAATATTTGAATATTCAGGCAACGCCTCCTCCGAGGGTAGTGACCCCAGACCAAGTCAGACAAGCTAATGAGCAGGGCCGAGGAATTCAAAGCAACGGACAGGGGAACACACATGCAGAAAGCCCAAACAATCAGGATAGAATCCCTTCGCGGAGTCCCAGCTTGACAGGGGGTCGCTTCGTATACCTCGGTGACCTGTCGATCGATACTATGATGTCTCAGTCAACCAAGACAGAAGCCCATCAGGTTCCTACTTCACCTGCCCGCCCCGTTTCCCAGGATGGATCTTACCAACCTTCGCTTTCCAAAAGCATAATGACCACAAGCGAGAATGATCCTGTTGTGGCAGAGGCTCGGCCGGTCGAGGCAAGACCAGTATCAGCCAGAGATTCGCGCATTCGATTATCCACGAAGAAAACCGAGGAGCCTTCTGTTACTGTAACCACCAAAAGTCCACTACGTGTCCAACGTCAAGGCTCTAGGAAACAGAGAACAAAGGAGAGATCTTCAACCCCTGAAGCCAAATTGTCACAGAGTCGCCGTGACAAGGTCAGGGACAAGAAAAAGAAGGACCTGGAAGCTGCTTCCTTGAAACGGCGCAGTATGATATCTATTTCGATGGACCTGCAGCCCGATTCTGAGCAGGAGACTATCAAAGAGTCGTCTAAAGAAACGGCAGAAGAGCCACCACCATTGCCATTCAGGTCTCCCCAACGCCAAAGCATGTGCCCCATCATGGTTGTCGCCAATGTCAAGCCATCACCTCCTCCATCAGGGGTTATCCCAGCATCCCCGAGGAGACAAATGACCGCAAACCCAGAAGACTTGACCTCTGCTGTGAAGTCGAAGCCGGGCGATGCGGCAACTAAGCAAGAAGACGACACACCCAGTCGAGCAATTTCTCCATCTCCGGCCTCGTATCAGAACGGGTCACCGACACCTCCCCAATCCGCTCACTCATCACCAACTCATAAAGTGGACTCGCATGACAGAACATCCCTTTCGCGACGTCGGGAGTGGAGTGCTGCTCGAGAACAAGAACGTAAACGAAAGGAAGCTGCCTCGAACGCCAGTCCCCGGCCAAGGGCAAGGAGGGCCGTCACTATGAGAGAAGACACTGGAGACAAAGCGCCCACCGTGGAAAAGGAGGTTTTGCGAAGATATGAGGCTTATCGCGAGTATCGCATCAGAGAGATGGAACGCAGAATCAGGAGATTGGAGCGCAATGGAGATGTCTGGCTTCGTGCCCTGGTGCCAGTATTAGACAATCTCAACCGCACGCTCGCTAATTCTCAAGACGGGCACCCAGGCGGGGCGAAGGGGTGGATCTCTGATGATGACCGTTCGAACTTTCAAGCAACGTCTAAAATGAGACCATCGAGCCGAGGACGTATGATGGCAAGGGCAGGGACATCAGAGCGGGAGTTTCTGGAGCAGCTTGTACGGACTAAGGAGGAGCTTGAGGCTGGAAGTGTCAGCGATGACATGAGCGGCTTTGATACAATTGAGCCTCTGATGAGAGAACTGGCTGGTCGATCTCGACTAAGCTTTGAAGCAAGATCACTGGGAATGGATGATGAGGGATTGTTGCATTCTCTTTCCGAGTAGTGGCCTACTAGACGATATATAATCCAAGTACAGCAGACGAGGACGGGAAGGTTGATTTGTTTTTATCTGCGGTATTGGAGTGGCTGGTTGGTTTGTGTGCAGGATGAGCGAAGCATTGGATTTTGGATACATTCAACAACGTTACTATAGTATAGCCTCGCACCCGACGTGCATTTTCCTAGCTAACGCCTATCACGATAAGTTTAGAGTATTTCCTAGTATGTATCGTATCTATCTAAAAATAGCAAGTTCTTTTTGTTTAGTTTCATAGAATTAATAATAGGTAGCTCACATGGCGACAATCCAAGGTTATCACTAAGCCCATTGCATTAGGTGGTGAAAATAGACAGACGCATCATATTTACACCTACAATGTCCTATCATAATCTTGAGATTCTGTTAAATGACATCTATCTCATGCTAGCTGTTACACTTTAGTTCACACGACAAGAAATACAGAAACTACCTAGTTTCAAGCCCACAACCACTTCTGTTTATGCCCAGTTGGGTAACGAGCTTCTGCACTTGAATCGGGCCCGCTCAGGGGGAGCGAGATCTTATGACGTAGGCGATACCTCACACGAACGTGCGTCTGCGCATCATCAAAGACATGAGATGCCATGGAGCTACACGGTTTTCAAGGGAAGGGTGAAAGAAAAGTGACAATAACCAACCTTTTATACGGTCGTTAGAGGTGTGGACTATGACACCAAGTTCGACCTTCGTCGTACTTTACATTCATCCTCTTCACAACACCCAATTTGTTTCAATCAGCTTGACTTACTTGTAATAAACTCTCAAACATCCAACCCAGGTGATTCAACCATGAGCAAGCCCTGGATCTTTGTATGCCCTTCGACCCGAGGAATTGGCTATGCTCTCACTCGACACCTCCTCCAGAAGACATCCTTGCCCGTCCTTGCAACAGCTCGTCTCCAACACGACCCAGAAACCGTAAAGAAATCACTTCTCGAAGGTCTCCCCGAGAAAGAAGGTCTCACCAAACGTCTGTCAATAGTTCACGCCGATGTCACAGACGAGGAGTCTCTCATTAATGCAGCTTCCAGGGCTGCTGAGCTGTTCCCCCCTGACAAGCATCACCTGCGGCTTGCGTGCGCGGTTCCTGGAGTCCTCAAACCCGAGAAGAATGTCAACCAGATAGACGCAGAGGCTAGTTTGGCGCAGTTCCGCATCAACACCATGGGTCCTCTCCTCCTTATCAAACACTTTGACAAGTTTCTCCCTAGGCGGAGTTCTGAGCTCGAAAACAGCCCCAAGAGTGATGAGGTAAAGATGCCTCCCTATTCGGTGTGGCTCAGTATGGCAGCTCGGGTTGGCTCCACATCAGATAATAGGGCTGGGGGATGGTTCTCATATCGGGCGAGTAAGGCGGGAGTTATCAGCCTGGGCAAGAGTTACGACATATTTCTGCGTGGGCGGAGTGGTGATAAGGCCATCTCCATTGCCTATCACCCTGGCACGGTCAAGACAGACCTGAGCAAGGGTTTCTGGGAGAGTACAAAGGAGGGCAAACTATTCAGCCCTGAATTCGCTGTCGACAGACTTGTAAAAGTCGCAACAGGCCTCCCCTTGGAAGGGCGAGGCAAGTGTATGGACTGGAACAACAAGGAGATCCTCCCATAAAGTGAGACATGGAAACTACAGGGTCATAGCATTCGGAAGTTTGAAAGGATAATTCTGCTTAGGGTTGTCTGTGTGAAAAAATAAGTTATTAAACCAGTATCTGCTCTGCCCTTTCACCGAGATCTTGCCAGCCAACATATCCGTATGAGACGGTACCAGATAGCGACTGCTATCCCTTCACGGCCTAATCATGCTATCTTTTCAAACAAGGTTAAGCCTGACCACATAGCTGCAGCACCTCTTGGTCTATAGCTCCACTTCTTGGAAGGATGCTCCATCTGGTGTAGGTGCGGTCTTCGCGTTTGACTCATCCTCTGCATCATCATCTGACGCTTCTTGCTTATCATCATGTTCGGTTTTACTTGATTCGCCATTATTGGCGGGTCGTAGGGCAACCTTCTGCTCCTCTTTATCCTCGAATCGTACCTTTTGTTCCTCTTGAGGTGACGTCTTCGTCTTTTGCTCGACCTCGACTTCTTCTTCTCCGCTTTCAGTGCTACTATCGCTGGAGCTCTGCTTTCCGCCGTTCCTTTGCGCGTCCTCTTCCTCCTTCTCCTTGACCTTCTCGTCTAGCTTCTCCTCTGATGGAGATGCCTGCTCACCGTTGTGAGCAGGTGGCACGGGCAGGCTCTTCTCCCCCTTCTCTGGAGGTGGTGGAGGTGAGGCTTCCTCGGCTGGAGGGCCTGGTTTCATAGCATCAAGATAGAATTTGGTAACACCTAGGATGCGGCCGCTCTTCTCGCAAGCCTCAACCCATTCGGGACGTACGACGGGAATGTTGCTCTCGACAGCTTTCTCCCATTGCTGCCCACGTCCCTCAGTGGTGACAAAATGCGTCGTGTCAATGCGGACGCCATCAACAATCTTGGCCCCGATGCGCTCGACCGCATTCGTCAAGCTGTCCTTGACGGCACTAGGCAGAATACCGGTAGTAATGGTAATACCTCTTAGGTCCGTCATTTTGTGTGTCCTCACAGAGACGCGCTCGCTGATGAAGGTGCCGGCGCTTGTGCGCAAGACCAGGTGGAAGGTATACTCTGTATCGACAGCAAGGCCGCTAATCTTTGTGCTGTGCATCTGTAATGGGCGAGGGATGTTTCCAGCCTTTTGGCCATTTCGGTAGAGACTCAAAGAAATAAGGTCGGCCGTAGCAAGCTGAATAGGATCCCACTCAAGAACGACCGAGGTTTGGGTGGCATTGCGGCATCTTAGCACTGGGGTTGTAGGCTCGGAGGCACCAAATGAGTTGTAGATGCTGTCTTGGAGGGCCCGGAATGCGCGATCGGCAGCAGCTTCTTTGGTCGCGTTCTGCGAAACGTTGATGTCGACGATGCTGCCTGACGAGATGTTGGGAGGGAGGAGGATAGATGGGAATTCGATCTAAGGACACTCGCTGCATTAGCAATTATCACAAACAGACAAGATGCTTCAAGCTCACCAAGCGCTTATCCGGTGTCAGAAGAACAGTAACACCGGCATCGACCTTGCCGACAGTGAGAGAGACGAGCATCGTTGCGAGTGTCGCAGCAAACAAAGGGTGATGATGACGCCGAGGGTAGTCTCTAGGCTATCACGCAAGCGGAATAGAGAAAGTGAAACAAGGGTATTTTTGCAAAGAAGAATCTATAGGCGGCGCTGACCAAATCACCTATCTGATCTGTAGTTGAAGCGAGAAAGGTTGCTGATAATTGCGAATGCGATAGGGATGGAACGTCGACGTGGAATCTTTGGTTGGGACGGGCTGCATGAGCAAGGACACGCACGCCAGCCAACCAGGGCACTAAAGACAAAGAGCTCCCCGCCAGCTCCCATTCAGCCTTCAGCAGCAAATTTGGACAAGACTCCCTGAAGTTTAGGCGCAGGGCCCCTAGCAGGCTCGCTACCTAGCAGGCTCGCTACCTAGCCGCGCCCCTGTGAGGCTCTCCGAGTCACTACCTTAGGTAGTACATACTGTAGGTACAAAGTGGGGACTCGGGGGCTACCTAAACGTAGAGGGCAAAGCTCTCACACCTCCCCCTCCTACCGGTGGATGTTACATGGATATTATCCTCATATACTGAATGTCTCATCTTGAGACTACCTTAAGGTACCTTACTTAGTGACGAATGCTCAACTTGACACGGTCGAATCGATTAATATACAGTTTATTGGTGAAAACATTGGTATCAACGCATCAAGTATACACATGACTTACTAGCCCTCATCTCTGATCTGTCTACCACTAGGTTGGCTCCATGCAGACAAAGGGATTCCATAAATTCCCATAACCAAAACCTATTAATGATACTCGCTCACATTCCTTCTGAGAATGCCACTAATTTCCGAAACACCAATTTTTCGCAGAATGCACCCTATTACCGATATATCCAGTCTTGGCTCTCAAGTATGCCCAGCTATCCATGTCTCTTTTGAAGCATGTGTTCTTCTTCCCAGGTTTGCTTCACTTGCTTCGCAACAGCCTCGCCAAAAATATGAGCTGGGGCTTGGGCGACTTTCAAAGGATCGTGGATCGTCACCATAAGCGTTCCTCGCGGGCCATTCATCGAATATCCGAGATCTTTCAAGGCTCTCCAGAATGCGCCTGTCAGCCTTTTGGCCATCAGGTGTCGCACCACAGTACTGCCCCCTCCCCTGCATATTGTGTATGTCCAGAGAGGCTCCTCAGTCAACTTGCGTCGGTAATTGCTCATAATTATGGGTAACATTGGTGCTATCCCAGGTCTTAAATGTTGCAGATGGTAAGGGTGTAGGATATATCGAGGCGAGTATTGAACAAGGCAGTTGAATAGTACTTTCACTTTTTGTTCGTCAGGCCCCAGGTGCAGACGTGTAGCCTTAGAGTTGTCGTACTCGATGCCTGTTTCTTGAAGAAATGACCAGACTTCTGGTGTGGTGAGCAGTCTTCCAGATGGTAATACATGGTCGTTTGCTGGTGGGATGAAGATCCGGGGTGTTTTAGGCCGTCCTTTCGTTCCGTCTCGATTCGGCGATTTTCCTGGTCTGTTGGGAGTTCTTTGAGGGCGCTCTTTTGTATTTTGGCGCAATGTTTGTGTGGCTGATGAAAAAAGTCGATAGTTGGGGGAGGGTATCGATCGCAGGAGTTTGATTCCTGGCAAGACTTGGGCCGTTGTCATGATGAAGGATTTGGACGGGATACGATCATGTTGAGATGGGATATGATGTTTTCTTCGGAGGTGAGACTTGCAGTGGGCGCCTCAGTGCCGTTCATTCGTTGCCTTAGCTGCGAGGGAGTGCGTCGGGCAAGTTGGAATCAAGGATGATGAAGCACGATGCGCAAATCGATTTCATGAGTTTGCGATTTCCCAACATGCTCAACTAGGAACGCCACATAATTGTGGCTGTGCCGCTAACCAATCTGCGTCATATTATTCAGAATATCTGACTTTGGGCACAATGTTCTCTCTTCTTAGGGTAACCTCTGAACTTAACAAAGAATTAATTAACTCTCTGTATGACTAAACCAATATGCTTTAGGATCTTGGGTTTCTTATTCTTCTTATAGATTTCAGACTGGAAGTTTCACGTATTGCATTGAAAATATCTCTGCTGCGCCACGCTTGAGTCACTGTGGAGGACAGAATCACAAGCGCCCAACCAGCTTTTGCCTCTTGTGTCAGTCAGCAGCGCAGCCCAGGAAAAATCCACATTCTTTCCCAAGCCAACAACGACACCACAACATCATCACCAACTCTCTTCTTCTCACCAACACATCTCTTCCTCACTTCACGCATACCGACAAACCGCCAACATGCCTAAGAACAAGGGAAAGGTAAGTCCCACAGATCCCCTCCTATACTCAACTGTCTTCCTTTTTCATTCATGGATCGCATTTTCACGCGCCATCCGCCAACCGCCTGCCCCGCCCCCACCATCATCGCTCTTCTGCAAGCAACAAAGGAACCGTCTCTAACAGTTGGACAGGGTGGAAAGAACCGCAGACGTGGTACCAAGGAGAACGATGACCAGCGCCGAGAGCTCACCTTCAAGGAGGATGGCCAAGAGTATGCTCAGGTCGTGAAGATGCTTGGTAACGGTCGTCTCGAGGCTCTGTGCTTCGATGGAAGCAAGCGCCTCGCCAACGTAAGTAGCCCCAAGTTTGTCTGCCTAACACGCGGTGCAACAAAAGCAGGACGCTCATGTCCTTCTTTCTGCGACTCATGCTAACATCTCCTTCGTAGATTCGCGGTAAAATGCGAAAGAAGGTCTGGATTAACCAGGGTGATATTATCCTCCTCTCTCTCCGTGACTTCCAGGACAACAAGGGCGACGTCATTCTCAAGTACACCGCCGACGAAGCCCGTACCCTCAAGTCTTACGGCGAGCTTCCTGAGAACGCCAAGATCAACGAAACCGACTCTTTCGGCCAGGGAGAGGATGGCGAGGCCTACTTCGAGTTCGGCGACGCTGATTCAGACGATGAGTCTGACGATGGCGCCGCTGGCAACAAGAAGGAGGTCGACATTGACGACATTTAAGCTCGCCAAAGCCCTCCAAATCCCCTTCTCTCTCTCTCCACCGAGCCCCCGACGCTACCGGGTGATACGATTGTATTTCGCCGCTGGTGTTGTTGATACTGTCTTCTCTCTCAAACCCGGAGCCGAGCGCCCAAAGCTCTGTGCGTCGGGTCCCACGACAGTAGTTGCTGTGGAGTCGTAGACGGCCGTGGTGGGAGGGACGTCACGGCATGTCGTTCTCTTTTGGACTTTCAGTATCACGATCGAGTTTTCTGTCTTGTTCCGTTTTTAGGTAGTTTTTACTGGACGACCATGTTTTTTCTCAACGCTTTATGATCCTCACATTCGTCTCAAAAGCACAGGTTAGACAAGACAAGAAAATGCTTACTATTGTTTCATAAATATTCTTTGATTCTCGCATTGCATTAATGTCGTGAACAATAAAGGCAGCCCAATGTATTGGCTAGTCATTCTGTTATGTTAAAGAATTTTGTTAATGCTATGGGTGTCTATAAAACATAACCAACTTTTGTCATGCCAACTGGAAATGGTACAGACGCGGTAGAACCATTTGGTAATACAAACCCGACCTCAGATGCTTGTGCTGATTCGCAACCAAGATACGTCTGCAACTGGTTGATTCCTCACAATCCTCTTCGTTACCCATAAGTGCAAATTTTATAAAAGACAAGTCGATGATCTTCTGTCGACTATATCTACCACGATCTTTCTTCCTTCTCTTGGATTTTGTGTTGACATGGTTCAGCTCACCAGTCATCGTTGTCGCTCTCGTCATCTCATCTAGTGTTAGTACATCAATCTTTACCGACAAATGCATATTGAACTTACCACTCTTAGAGACCTTTTCTTTTCTCTTCTGGAGAGCAGCAGCCAGGGCATCGGCCATGCCACCGCCGCCGCCAGGCGCACCAGCTGCTGCAGGTGCAGCATTCGCCCCGCCAGAATCGCCGCCACTGCCAACTTGAACACCACTGCGGTCGCGAATCTGTGAGCGATCAACCTTCTTGAGGGAGTTGATTCCGCCAGCACGTTGAATGCCTTCCAGCATGGCTGATCGGCCAGGATCGCCCCCTGCAGCAACAGGAGGGAGAGGAGGCGGTGGAGGTGCACCAGTTCCAGGCGGCATAGGGGGCGGAGGAGGCGGCGGTGCACCAGGGCCTCCAGGAGGTGGAGGGGGCGGAGGAGGTGGAGGAGCACTTGTCACCGGTAAGGGAGGTGGAGGAGGAGGGTGATTGTTGGCTGCTGGAGGGGGAGGAACCGGCCGGGAGCTTGGAGGCGGCAGTGGTGGAGCTGAAGAAGCTGGTACTTTGGGAGGCAGAGGAGGAGGAAGAGCTGCAGGCACAGGGTGGTTATCGGCCGGTCGGGGTGGTGGTGGAGGAGGAACAGGCCCACGGCTAGGTGTTGGTGGGGGTACTCTTGAACCAGGAAAGGGAGGAGGAACTCCGAATCTGTGACTCTCGTTCTTCTGTGTTTCTATGGGAGTCTTGGCCGGTCGCGGAGGAGGGGGAGGTCCAGGAGTGGGCGTTGCTGGAACAGCCCTTGGAGGATCTTGACGTGCGAATTTGCCAGCGTCGGCCAATGGAGGAGGGACACCAAACTTGGGTCGAGGAGGTGACGGCGCTCGTTCAGGCGCAGCATCCTTCGCCGGAGATTCGGCTTTGCCCGACCGTCTCGGGGCTGGAGGAGGTGGGGGGCCGCCTTTTCTCGGAGCAGGGGGAGCTGGAGGACCGTCTGACTGAGGTCGACCACCGGGCGGCGGCGGCGGCGGAGGCGCTCGAGAGCCTCTTCCTTCATTGCCGTTCGCGGTTGGCGTTGGAGAGGGTGCTTTCGCTGCTGGAGGAAGAGGTGGTGGCGGTGTCGAATGAGGCTGATTGGCCTTCTGTTGTTCTTCTCTCAAGAAGTCGACAATAAACTCTTGGTTTTCTTTGATGAAGTCGTCCGTCAAACCCTTGTCTTGAAGATCTGCACCAAAGTGCTCGCGCCACAGAGGATCAAACGCATCTAAAAGTGCGAATTCAGAAGGTCTTGAGCCATTGAGATTGGGCGTTGAGTTGACAACATGATGCTGGATGGAGTTATGTGGCATCCGGGGAGACTCCGGAGGGGTCGGAGCTGTGTGCTGGGAGCTGATATGAGTCGAATGGCGATGTCCGAATAGCCCTCCCAACAGGCCATGCTTATGGGCTGGCTGGGCACCTCCACCGAAGGGCGTCGACTTTGTAGCTCGGCTTGCATTCTTCTCTCGCTCATCCATCTTCTTCTTGAACTGTTTGGCCTCCTTTTCGTCGACAAAGCTCAGACCAGCCAGGCATTCTTCAAGTTCGAAGGTATGAAAAAAGGTTCGGTCTTGGTTGTAGTTCCACGTATCGAAAATCTCCTGGTCCCAGATAACTCCTCGATTGGAGGGCTGAACAAGTTGTTAGCATGCGGTGGTTAGATGTGGTGGAAGCGATGTAGATATTGGATCGTGGACATACCGAAATATCCACCATCTTGATCCAGTATGTATTTCCAACCAGATCATTGACGAGCGCAACAGCTCCCTGTAGTCCGGTGTATGTCCATTTTGAGCGATTGGGATATGCTACGTAGAGTCTGGCAACAGCAACGGCCTGGATCTTGTTGGATTGCTTGGGGATGAACCGCTTCACGGTATCCTTATCATCGTCGTTAAGAATAGATGGCATTGTGGCGGCGCAATCGAGTATTGATTACTGTAGCAGTGTCGTGTGATCGAATATGCCAGAGAAACAGTAACGAAGGATATGAGCCAAAGGTAAGATGGCTTCGTCGGTTGTCGCCTGGACTGGACGCGCGGAGTGGCGCTTGTCTGGTCTCTCCTCTTCCAGCGTCTCGTCAGAATCGCTTGGCGCTCGCGTGAGGCAACCGAAATTTTGGGGGATGGAAGGTGCAAGCTCTTGTCGCCGGATAGATATATATGGTTAAGAGAGTGTGCGAGCAGCGCCCGAGCTTTCGGGCTTGAGTAGAAAGGGATCTCTCTCGGATAGCGCAGGCGAGCACGGATGGTTGTCGCACGTCAAAAGATGTTCGTCGTCCGTGGGGAACGGGAACAGGAACAGGAACAGGAACCAGACTGGGCCAGCGGTCGGTTGGGATGATGTGTGAAGAGCCAGAGTCCAGTCCGTAACGAGAGAAGTGAGCACCAGCCACAGGCTAGAACCCTTGCAGTAGCACACCTACCTGCTTACCTACCTCTGTAGTACTGTACCACAGCCACTTTAAGTAGGTCTTGGGGCGGGGCAACCTACGCCCACGTCTTTGTGCAGCGGGCGGGACGACAAGTTTGCTTTTTGGTGGGCGGGAGGGAAATGGAAGCTCAAGGTAGTATGCCAGGTATGTAGTGATGGTTTTATGGCGGTAATTGTGACTGTGACATGCAACGCAAGCGGTCAACTCACAATGCATCAGGTACCTATCGAATGGTTCACCGCTTCAGCCACTTTGCCAGGTTCTAGAAAATTCGCATGGCACCAGTCGACTGTTGGGCAGCCAGAGTTTAGCAGCCTATCTTAGTAGATACCTGGGGAGATAGCTGCTGTCGCCCAAGGTAGTGGGGTTTTTAGGGCCATCTAGGCTGTTGAGTCGGGTGTGTTACAAAGATGATGTGCTAGCTATCGACTAATAACGGAACACCTTGGGAGGCAACGAGAACAAAATTCTCACATGATTCTGGGTGTATGTAAATATCTGGATGTATTCTAATACTACGAAACTTCGAGTCTTCATAAACCCCAGTCTCTGGCCGTACGAGTCTTGTCTCGGCTCCAAATCTAAACTACTAATGATGAGGGGCAGATATTGGATGGCTGCGTGTCAGCAGGGGGTTCCGAGGCTGCCGTTGGTTAGTGCCATGATACCACCAGCATGAGACCACGATTAGCAATCGACACGTTCCAATGCAAGTCATGACAAAATGTCTTGAGTGTTGTATAAATAGATCGTAAAGTACCTAACCTAGTCCCAAATCCACGTATAGTCATACAGTCATGTCAATAAAGCGACTTCTACCACAGAGGTCGACCGCTTATTTCTTGTTCAGGGCCTCCATCTTGGCCTTGCGCTCCTCCTTGGTGCCCTCTTCTTGGGGCATGTCTTTGGGTACGGCGGGTCCGGGGTGAGCGTTAAAAGCAGAGACCTTGTCCTTGGCCTCATCCTTGATGGGTTGAATGGAGAATTGCTTCTCGCCCTGTTAGGAAAACGGTCAGTGTTGGGCTCAAGAACTAAAGCTCCGGTACAGGGCAGTCAACTCACCTCCTTCTGTTGCTCGGTGCCAGTCATTCTGATGGTTGTTTTGGTGGTTGGTTTAAGAAAGTTCAAGGTTATTTTCGTGATCTAGTTTCTTTGTTGGGTTGATTCGAGATCTTGTGGCTGCTCAAACCTAGGTCGTCAACGTCCTTTTGTAGTCGCTGGCCCGCCCATATCATGAGGCGATGACGTCGTCTTGTCTGGCCAGACTACGTACTACGTAAGACCATTCTGTGGCGCATGTTGCGACAACCAGAAACGCAAACTCTTTAGGGAAGTGTCACAAGAGGATGTATACAACGTCTCATTGGTCCCGTGTTCCCCAAAAACCGCCGACTGTTGAGATCACTGCATAGCTAGGTGCTATCTAGGACACTGCAGGATCTTGAACAATGACGTGGAGATGGTGGTCATGGTGTGCACAATGTGTGTAAGTGGATATCGCTAATAAAAAATCAAGGACAAATAGCTTAGTAGGTAGGTATCACAACTTGGCCAGCTTGGTCTCAGGAATGAGAAAAAGAGGGAATGCAGAAATCCGAGGTGCTGTTCAATCTGCTACGCTGACAGAACATGTACCACTTTGTGGTGTCTGGAGAGTTCCAAAAATGCAAAGGGTTAAGCTGTATTCATCTTATCATGACTTGTGAAATAGCGTGGCTACCGAATAGACTAACTAGGTACTTAGTCTAGGGACTTGGCCATGGCCCTTGTATTCTAAGGAACCGTCAGCTGCATTTACTGCAATGTTTTGCAGTAGTTTTGCCAGCATGCCAGTCCCCGTATGCGACACGAGCTCTCGTATGAATATAAAACAGATGGCATCTCATCAGAAACCAGCCCAATGTGCTAAGCTGGCGCAGGCTTGGCAGGTAAATCTCGAATGGCGGGGAGCTGACACTGTCGCTGATATGAGGCCGACAAACAGGATCAGCACAACATATTAATTATCATTAAAGAAATTATAAAATAATAATAATAATAATAATAATAATAGAACTTTTAAGAGCAAAACAAAAAAAGATAACCCACAGCAAAAGTTTTTCATTCTGTCTCGAAAACTACTAATCTATGGATGCCATAGTCACCAATCGACATTCATTTCCATCATGGCCCGCTCTGCCTTATGCATGCAACTTACACATTCCCCGCCACGGCTCTAGCTCCTCGCTAAGATCTTCAATACATCATTCACGACTATAGTAGGTTGTCATTTCATCAATACCTTCAACACATCGTCTGTCAACACCAACATTCGGGTGGCCCGCATGTCTGCAAGCAATGCTCCCCAGCCAGTGAAGCTTTCACTCCCACTCGTAGGTTTGTCCATGACTTTGAAGTATGATCCCTCACTCATCGATTTAGGAATACCAACAGACTCTGTTCCAGGAGCTTCGTGCTGAAGATGAGCTTGTCGTTATCGCACGCGGCCTGGGGCTGATGCGCCTTGTCAACAATCTCCTCCATTCGTATGACGCCGGCGGAAACAATTTAATTGTCATAGTCGCCGCTGATGAACGAGAAAATGGCTGGATTGGAGAAGCATTGGCCGAACATGCAGCCATCAGCATGTCCCCGAAAGCGCGTGGCCTGACAGTCGTGAACACAGACTTTCAAAGCGTCGGCGCAAGGGAAAAGATGTACTCTGGAGGCGGGATCTTCAGCATCACATCGCGTATTCTAGTGGTCGACCTTCTCACAGGTTTGCTGAATCCTGAATCAATTACAGGGCTTGTTGTTCTTCATGCCGATCGCGTTGTCGCAACATCTCTCGAGGCCTTCATCTTAAGAGTTTACCGTCAAAAGAACAAGATTGGGTTTTTGAAGGCCTTTTCTGACAACCCCGATCCCTTCACCACTGGCTTCTCACCCTTGGCTACCATGATGAGGAACCTCTTTCTGCGTAAAGCCTCGCTTTGGCCTCGATTTCACGTCACAGTCGCGCAATCTCTGGAAGGAAAGAAGAAGGCCGAAGTTATCGAACTCGAGGTCCCTATGACAGACTCGATGCGTGAGATTCAAAACGCCATAATGGAATGCGTTGAAGTCAGTATTCACGAGCTCAAGAAAGGTAACAGTGGCCTGGAAATGGACGATTGGAACCTCGACAGCGCTCTTCTCAAGAACTTTGACATCATGGTTCGAAGACAGTTGGATCCCAACTGGCACCGCGTGAGCTGGAAGACGAAGCAGATTGTGAATGACTTGACTGTTCTCAGAGCCATGCTCAACTCTATTCTGGCATATGATGCTGTTTCGTTCCTCCAGCATTTGGATACCATTCATGCCGCTCACTCCCCGCCTCCAGGATCGACCCGGCAAACCCAATCACCCTGGCTTTTCCTCGATGCTGCTCAGACTATTTTTGATACGGCAAGACGAAGAGTATATTCCGCTAGTGCCAAAGATGCGGCCCGGGAAGATAACATCGACTCTCTAAGGCCTGTTCTCGAAGAGCTACCCAAATGGGCGCTTTTGGCTGAGGTCCTGGAGGAAATTGATCGCGATCTGTACTTTGAGCCTCCAGTTCGAGACGACTCCAATGGTACCATCCTGATCATGTGCTCAAATACCGATACTTGCAGGCAGTTGCGAGACTTCTTACAAACCATGCACGTCAAGCCCAAGACGGAGAAACGATCAAATGAGGACGATGAAGATCAAGACAAGCCCTCTGCAGCTTTCATGATGCGAAGGCGGTTGAGGAACTACTTAAGATGGAAGAGACAATTTGCTCAGGTCAGCGCCACTCTCTTTTCCGAAAACCAGAAGGCCCTGAATGGAGCCACGGACACTCGTCCAGGTTTGGCAGGATCAAGAGGTGGAAAGGCTCCTGCAAACAAGCGACGACGGGTGCGCGGCGGAGGAAATGCCGGCGTAAGCATGGGTCGTGCTGAGAATGGCAGTATCATGCAGTACATTGAGAAACCGGGAGAAGTTGCCGATCTCATGGCAGAGGTACAGATTACAGAAGAGGAAGCACAGCAGAAAGAAGACGTTGTAGCAGATCCCCTCGACAATATGGAGGAATACTTCAAATTATATGATATGCAAGACCTAGTCGTCATCCACGCATATGATGGAGATCAGGACGAGCATGTCCTTGAAGAAACCAAACCACGATACATAATTATGTACGAGCCGGACGCCGCCTTTATCCGTCGAGTTGAAGTGTACCGATCATCGCATAACGACAGGAACGTTAGAGTATACTTTATGTACTATGGTGGCTCAGTGGAGGAGCAAAAATACCTGTCATCTGTTCGACGAGAAAAAGATGCATTTACGAAACTCATCAAGGAGAGGGCAAGCATGTCCCTTGTCATGACCGTGGACCCAGCTGAGGATCCTGAAGATGCTTTTCTCCGCACCGTCAACACACGTATTGCTGGTGGTGGAAGGCTTGCAGCAACAGCTGAGC